CCAGGCTGACTGGTTCACTCACAACCTCGTTCTCTGTGCCAAGAGCCACAGCAGTAGAAACTGACACCGTGTAGTTATTGCCAGGCATGAGGCCAGGTATGTTTAGAACACTTTCCGTTGACGGAATTGAAACATCGACTGTTAAAACCTGGCCCTGAACTTTCACCACGTAGGTGTCAAAGGTGACGTTAGGAGGGACCAAAACAAACAAGGCAGAGGTGGTTGTGACATTGATCAGGCTGACAGACTCAAGCGGCTCAAGAACTGAGAACAGAAACCAAACAGTACGGGTTTTCAAGCAAATTTAGAAAAGACAAGATTTGGGGGAAAAAAAGCAAGGAAATGAAGCCATATCAATTTGATACGTTAATGCACCATCCAAAAACTCCATCTTTTGATGTCAAAGCATTAGTATGGACAGCCACTCACAGCGACACTTCTCTATTATCCCCACTCAATCAGTACCAGTGGGGAAACACTCACCCAATATTCGCTTGACAGTAAACACACACTCAGCCGTGTTGCCGACTGCATCAGTAAATCTATAGGTGACGTTAGTGGATTCATCAACAAACACAGCTCCGGGTTCGTGGGATTTGTTGACCGCTGGAACTAAGCCCGAGTCATCTACGGCCGTAGGCTCTATCCAGTTGGCTACGTTCTCCCCGGCAGGCAGGGTGATGTCGGACGGACAGCCAGATATTACAGGGGCCGTGAGGTCAAGGGCAACTGGAGAAAAACGAGTCAATTTCTGACCAAGCTACTAGTATGTGAAAACTTTGTGTCATTTCAACACACATCATAATGTTACGTACAACAAATGCGCTTTTGCTGCATGGTGGCAGAATTTGAAGAAATAATGGTCTACAAATGCGCTAGGCTTGGACAGTGTTGCATTTTGTAATACTGTGATATTCGTGATAAATATATTGCGCTATTCACTAATATCGTGATATACCGTGCTATTCACTAATATCGTGATGTTCTTTGAAGTGTGCGTCATCAAAAAGCAACAGAAATAAGCAGTGGCATTCACTGGGCATGCCAGCAACTACTTCTGACTTCCAGTCGGGACTCTACAAGCTTGATGTACATGTACTCCAAAACCACAAACACAATGACTTGGGGGGGATGATAAAACTTCAAAGGCTTTTGGCCAGTGGGTTGGCGGTTGTTTAAGTTTCATGTTACCAAGTCCAAGTGACAATGCAGACATGATACTGGATGACTTGTCCCACAAGAGAAGGAGTGAAATATGACGATATGAAGGTTTTCCTTCATTTTCAAAGCATACTAGCAAGAATACCATGGTATCCAAATTCCAAACAGTATTTGCTGGTATTTTAGTATTTATGGACCACCAGTTGGTATTTTTTGGTATTTTACTATTCAATAATACCGAAATAAAAACCAAGCTTAAAAGGCACGGAATGTGGTTTACACAAC